ATATGTTAAAAATATTTTATTTGATATTTATTTCAAACAAAAAGAGTGTAAAAATAAAGTGAAATGGAGTAGAGAAAAATAAATGGAAAGTCAACGACTAGAAGTCACTGTCAAGTCTCAATCAAACTTGGAAGAGGAAGAAGAAGAAAGTTTGCAACATCAATGGCGGATTTTCTCACCAAGCAGCCGTACTCTCCTCCTTCATGGGCTACTCATCTTAGTCCGATTCCTTCTCACATCTTCTCCCTCGCTCACGTACGTAATTATGTTATTCTCTATTACTTTAATCTCTCCTTTTCGCTGATCATCTTCATCTTCTTCCTCAGCTTCCTACTCCGATCCATCGATGGAATCTTCCTGGTCTTCCTGAAGGCACTGAACTTTGGATCAAGGTCTCGTCTCTTTTTTCTTCTAATTTATGTTGTTGTTGTTGTTTCTCTTCATTTCCGCTTACTGTTTCAACGGATTTTTCTGCAGCGCGATGATTTCACCGGAATGGAATTGAGTGGAAACAAAGTAGAAAACTCGAATTCCTATTGGCTGAAGCCGTCGATCAACAAGCCGACACTGTAATCACCATCGGCGGCGTTCAGAGCAATCACTGCCGTGCCACAGCCGTCGCATCTAACTATCTCAATCTCAATTCTCATCTCATTCTTCGCACCTCCAAGGTCCTTCGTCTTCTTCGTGATTCACTTTTACATCGGTGTAAAATCTCAATACTCATCTCATGATGTGTATTTTTGGTTGCAGCTTCTTGCTGATGAAGATCCTGGGTTGGTTGGGAATCTACTGGTTGAGCGTTTTGTTGGAGCTAATGTTCATCTTATCTCTAAGGAAGAGTTTTCCTCCATTGGGAGTGAGGTTTAGTTCATTTGCATCTCTTTCGATTACTAAGAATACACGAATTCTGTAGATCGTTGACAAAAACTTGGTCTTGTGATGGTATTGATAGGCTCTTACTAATACCTTGAAAGAGAAGCTGGAAAAAGAAGGAAGAAAGCCTTATGTTATTCCTAGGGGTGGATCCAACTCTTTGGGAACTTGGTGAGATTGTGTTCTCATTAACCAACTTATTGTATGGCCAAGTGTAGCAACCTGTGTGTAGTTTTATCGCTTATGACATTACTCAATTGTTTGGCGAGGCAGGACTACGCGCTTGTTTAATGCTGAATTCATCATTCTAATCTTCTAGGGGTTATATCGAAGCAGCAAGGGAAATTGAGGAGCAGCTACAAAGTAGAACTGACGGCCTCAAATTTGATGATATTGTGGTTGCATGTGGCAGGTTTTTGCTTTGTGAATCTGTTTCGTATTCTTTACTTTTGGTTTTGCTTCATTCTCATCTTAGTTTGCTCCTGATTGCTAGCGGTGGTACAATTGCTGGTATTTCATTGGGATCTTGGTTGGGAGCTTTAAAAGCCAAGGTATAGTCTTTTCTTTGGCTTAGATACATCACTCACAGTGAAGTAGATCAAATGGCTCAATTTCAATGTACAGGTTCATGCTTTCTCGGTTTCCAATGATCCAGATTACTTCTATGACGTTTTCCAAGGCATTCTGGATGGACTTCAAGCTGGTGTTAACTCCCGTGATATTGTAAACATCCACAATGTGAGTGTCATAAGCATCTTAGGCTTCTCCGTCCGTGTTGTTTTTACTTTTGCAGGGACGCTAGACTTCCTTTGCAATTGTTCATGTGTTGCCTAGTCCACGTTGGTGATAGATATCTCTTGGATCTTTAGCAAACACCACTAGATGAAGAATTGTGGTAAATGCTTTCTCTTAGGTTCATAGGCTTTGCTTTTGATTCTTATGTTTTTGCAGGGCAAAGGAAAAGGATATGCGGTGAGCACGCCAGAGGAGCTTAAGTTTGTAAAGGATGTAGCATGTGCAACTGGTGTTATTCTTGATCCTCTTTACAGGTATGTTAGTCTTTCTAGTTCTTCCTTGATCCTATTAGTTTAAGGTCATGATTACCCCTCTCTAAGTCTCTCAAATTAGCATCCTAATGTATAGCGAGATTTGAGATTTGGGTTTCCGAGTTTTTAATCCAGTGGCAAAGCTGCATTTGGTTTGATAAATGAGATGACCAAAGATCCCAAAAATTGGGAAGGAAGGAAGATCTTGTTCATATACACTGGTGGGCTTCTAGGGTTGTATGATAAGGTTGATCAAATGACTTCACTGGTGGGTAGTTGGTGCCGGATGGATGTTGAAGAATCCGTCCCGAGAAAAGATGGTGTCGGGAAAATGTTCTAACAGAAGAAAATCTGACCTGTAATCCTTGTGAAGGAGAAACAGATTGAACAATTTCTGCATTGGGTCTTCCTGTTCTGGTGATTTATGTTTGTATAAATAAAAGGTGTGTTTCATCAGAACATATCGAAGATTTCAGGTTCTTCTCTTTTCCGTCAATGTAATTTGTAATACCATCCATAGCCTTTTCAAAAGCTCACTGGCATTAGCTTTGAAAAGGAAATGGAAACAGAGATTGATAAGCTTTTAACTACTCTGTAACCGGAGCAAATGTTAAGGTGTAACAGTCTGTTTCATATTACAACCATTGCGTTTGTTTTTTCGATATTAATCTTGTCTAATACTAATCCTGATAAGTTTGAGTTTGCGAGCAATTTCGAGGTAGAGCTCAAGGAAGTGAAAATGGCGCAAGAGATAAATAAGTAATGGGATCGTGTTAAAGGCTATAGAGGGATGGTCATGAGATTGTACGCAAACTTCCCAGTTCACTTCTTTGCTATCTTTTTATTTATGGTCAGCATTTCATGAGATGTGAGAATGACTATTGTACGCCAACTTCCCAGCTCATTTGTTTACCACCTCTAGTCGTAGTCGTAGCCATAACTCTAGAGATAGACCGCGACGAAAAACCATTCAACGGATTCTTCAAATCTTCTCTGCTACTTCACCAGCATAACTGCGAACTAGTGTATAATAATCAGTATATCATCATTTTCGTTTCTTCTACACATATTTAAATTTTAAACTGCTAAATGTTGCATAATATTTTTTCTGTTTGTAGAGAAAACCAGAAAAATCAGAACTAGTGTTTATATGCAAATAACTATGGGGATTCTTGTGAAATGATTCCTCTGTTTATGTGCAAAAATCCCTTATATATTGATTGGGGAGTGATTTGTGAGAAGTTACTTATATGTCATCTCCACAATCACTCTCACCAAAACAATTGTGACATGGCTTGTCAAAATTGTGACATGGCAAACTAAATTTATAATTGTTATCATTAATAAATCAAAATAGTTTTTTAATCAATA